AACAACAGTCATCGCGCCAGACTGCGAGAGCTTCATGCAGACTCAGGAGATCTTTGCTTGAGCCGCTTGTTCAATATGGCAGCGATAAAGTTTTTTCGATTGGCCGCACCCTGCGTGCTCCAGTGGCACATGCGTACTCTGATATGACTCTTCCACCTGCACGAAATGTCTGCAGATTCCCAAAAGCAACCGACGCGAAGTGGACATGGCTTCGGGCTCCTGGCAAGAGAGGCCACGAGGCATACGAGGCCAGTTTTTGGCATTCGAGCGTTTCGTTCTGCTCAAATCCGATTCGAGCATGTTTTGAAGTTGCCTAGCGTTGGTGAAGCGCTCGAGAGAAAGCCGGGCCCACAGTTGCTCGGGCGCAATTGTCCGCAACTCGGGCGCAATGCCGAAAAGTGCACGCAGCCATGGCTCTGCCCTGCAAGCGCTGCATTTACCCGTGCTCGCGCACGAATGTGCTCCATGAAGGCTCGGGGAAAAACATGCGGCTGGTTGTCAAAGTGTTGTTTCCCAGTTTTGTACAGATCGCCATGCCATTGGCCCGCCTCATGCGGGCCACATAAATTGCGGCGCTGTAGGTTTGAACGCCAACCGTACAGTTGAGTGACTGGCGCACTGGCGCGGGCAGTCTCTTAGCTGCTGCGGGATGAACTATCTGAGCTCTCAGAGATGCCTTCAAATTGGCGGCCTGGCGCCCTACCACAGCCTAGAAACATGCAAGTGGTTCTTAGATGTTGCCTCCAACGTTGCCTCTATGTATCCCAGCTTTTCGCAGGCCACATGTCACATCCCATGTCCCTCCTCAACTAGACTAGACTGGACGAGACAGGATGAGCACAGACTTTGTCCAGCGCCCATATGAAGCCCTGCAAACTTTTCGCCCTGGGGCTGAGCTAGCGCCAAACTAGTGCTGCCGGTGGGATTTGCGTGATTTAGGTGGGGGCCCGCCTCATCCCGAAAAGGACAACGCAAGACGCAGCACGAATTTCGAACATGCTGTATATACCTCCTGAGCCGGCGTTTCTTGAAGGGCTGGCATGTGTATCCAGGGGTCCTCCAGGTTTAATTGCCCGACGAAAGAGCTTCGAACAAAGGGCAGTGGTCACCAGCGCTTGCGAGCCGGCGAGACTTTCGTTGCGCGAAGGAGAACGTGTTGGGCCTGTCCGCAGCTGGGGACACACAGCGTGAGCTTGACGCTGGCGAAGAGGTTTTCAATTTCAGCAGTCGCCGGTCCTTGCGACCAAAGGCCTTTTGATTGGCAGCGACCAGGATCCATGGACAGTCGGACGCACAATCTGAAGTTGGTGTCGGGTTCTGTCTTGGCTGCAGCTGCCGTCCATCGGAAGCCTCCAGTTGCGGTATCGAGAGGCGAAAGTGGCTGAGCGAGCGGCCCTGGCAGATTGTGGTGCAAGAGTTCTGCGAAAGCGAGTGCCTTGCGAATGGGGGAAGTGATTGAGGACGGGTCTGAACGGCTTTTTGCTTTCGTAGCTGGTGCTGCTGACCTATTTTGAATGAGTTTCATTTTGCGCGGACTGCGGTTCACTGGAACTCCTCCTCCCGCTTTTGGACATGCTTGTTTGAGGCACAGTTGAAAGCCCGGAAAGCGAAGGGAAGTAAGGAGACAGTCGTAGTCTCAACGACAGATAAGCTCCGCAAGAAGCACGGTGGCATGACTCAGATGTTTTTATCCGGCAACGTGTTTTTAGCACTGTTTCAATCGAAAACCCATTCCTGGCACACCAATCAAACCCCTGATCTGCAAGAAACTCTCTCGGTTCTTTTTGTGTTTTCGAGCAGACCCCTTGACTACCGGATATTTACGCAAGTGTTTTTGTCCAACAACGCTGTTTGTGAATGGTGGTTCCGCCCATTTTTGGATGATCCTGTGGGCTGAGTTCCCAAAAGTGGAAAGCTATTCACTGGCTCAAAACAGGAATGGCTCGTATCTTGATGTTGCATTGATTTGTTTGATTTGAGGAGCCGGTGCACCATACGGCGTGGCTCAAGGCAAGCTCTGTTGCCGCTTGGACGAAGCAAACCTCTCTTTTCAGCTGTTGCGTGCTTAGCTTGCTCGGAAGTTTCCCTGATTTTTCCAGGTCTTTCGAGCCTTTTCAAGCGAGGAGACTCCCGCCTCTCGTTTTGGCTGCAGGGCCTCTAGCTTGAGGCATCCTAAGGTTTCTTTCCAGACCCGTAGGTCGGTTCTGAGCCTCGTCGCTTTTGGCCTAAGCGTATCACGAATGGCCACATGGACGCTCGAAGAGGCGCTGAAGCGGCGCGGCTGCAAAAGGTACTGGCAGAATGCAGAGTGTCCTCAGTTTGGGGCAGCCATTTTTTGGGAAGTGCAGTTCAAAGGGCCACAGGATAAACTCATGAGTTGCCAAAAAGTAGGAAGGGAATGTCAGCCGCAAGCCAAATTTGACACGTGTAGCCGCTCGCATCTCCAGCTCGAAAGTTGCAACTTCGATCCTCAGAGACAGGGATCTTCCGCACACGCACTGCTTCGTTCTTCGAAAGGGAATTGGTTTAATCTTCCTGAACCACGACGTGGATACTGTACGGCAACGCAAGGGAATTCGGCGACGCAGGGGAGAGGTTTGGGAAGCGTTGTCTCTTCTTCTTGACCACTTTGTCCTCCGAGGTGTCTGGCGCGTTCTCAACTGCCCTTGAAAACCCAACTTGTGCCCATAATCGCACCAGGTTCCCAAGGTTTGTAGCCTCTGGTCGAAAGAACAAAGCAGGTAAAGGAAGTCGGCAGAACGGATTCATAACTTCGGGAAAGGGATTGGCTCTGAGGGTTGCGCAACAGTAGTGCGCAATGTGCACTCTCGCAGCTTCAGCTGGAAAAGCGCAACTTTTATGCGCAAAAGTACTGTTCAAAAAATGCGCGCTCTGAGAATCCCAACTTCAAAGCGCAAAATGCAGCCCGTCAATCACGCTTCCGCGCCTCCAGCTCGAAAATCGCAAACTCTTGGATGCGGAAGCAGAGCAGAGGGGTAAGAGGGAGCGGTTGCAGAGAGGTTGCAGAGCATCACGCGCAAGAGGGAGCGTCGTGCGCAGCATCATTGGCAACATTATGCGCAGCGTCATGCTTAGTATCATGCGCGGCATCACGTGCAACATCCTGCGCAGCATCATGCGCAGCATCGTGCGCAAGAGAGACAGGAGAGATTTCGAAGCATGAAGCTAAGCTTGCTCATCAGATTCGGGGCTGCACTTGAGCAGGGACATTGACATGTTTAGGGGGGGAGGTGTCAGAGTTTATCTTGACCACGTGTTGTCAAGCTAAAATCATTGGCCTCACTTTCGGATTGTCCCGTTTTTAATCGGATAGCGGATTAGGAGTTCAGGACCCCCAACTTGAGGTTAGGGTACTGACCCAGTTTCCACACGATGACAGATCCGATTTCATTCTGGCAATTACAGAAGCACAGTGTTTTTGAACCCTTGAGCCATGTTCAGTCTGGTGCCAATTGAGTTTCAACGTGTAGCTGCATAGAAGCTGCAGCAAGGAGATGATTCCTGGCTAAAAACAACATCCCAAGGAACCACCTCATTGCTGCCACTTTTATCCAGAACCCCCCACAGCACGAACCGCTCGATTTGACGTTGTTTCGGGCTGGGAAGGAACTCTGGAACCCTTCTCATTGCTGCAACTTCCACCCAGGACCCCCGCTCGCTTTGAAGCTTTTCCAGAGTTGTGGGAAGGAGCCTCATTGCTGCAACTTCCCAGAACCGAAAAAGCCTCAAACCGAGCAGTTCGTGCTTTGGGTGGAAGTTGCAGCAATGAGATGAAGTTGCAGCAAGAAGGAGATGAGAGAAAACCAGCCAAGAACCCCCGAAAAGCTTCAAATCGAGCAGTTTGTGTGTGTATGTGAGGGGATTCTGGCTCGCTTCTCCTGCGTCTATTCGTGGCTTAGTGGCCGTGTTTCGACTTGGCGTGTTGGGGCTTTCTGCGTTCCCACCTGTCTTAGAACCCCAACAAAGCTGAAAGTTGCTCTGTTTGTGCTTGTGGCGATTCTAGCTAAACGGATTACGGAAGCAGGGGCTGAGACGGATCACGGAATGACACGGACAACCGGAAGCAGGGGTCGAAACAGATTACGGACGCGGATTGCGGATTGATCGGATGAAGGCCGTGTAGCGGATTATCACCTTTACGGCTTAGTTTTAGGGGCGCGCAGGAATTGATGAGCCCAGACCCAAATACTGGCTGGAGTCTCGTGCCGGGATAACCTCTCAAATCTATCCCAGAAGGGCGCATGAACAGCGTAGATCCTAAATTTTCAATGAACACAGTACTTGAAAAAAGGCCCTGAGTAAGAATGGAGGCAGCAATGCTACGTGATTGGGCAAGGTCCGGCCTTTTGACTTTTGTTTTTCTTGAAGGTGGTCCTCAAATTTGGGTGGCGGACTTTTTGTATGTTGCCTTGCCATGTGCTGAGGAGCGTTGGGAGTCCCATGACAAGCCGGGCCCGGCAGAGCCCATGAGGATGTGATTTCACCGCTTCTGATACACCTTGTGGCAAGCAGGCTGGGTTGAAGCCTGGCTGTTCCCAGTTATGCGTCCAGGCAGAGGGTGTTTTTCTTGCTGTGCTGCCGGAACAGAACAGTCAAGCCCATGTGGCCAAGCTGCACGGGTGTCCTTCCAGTCTGTGCCTCGTAAGAGGTTTGCAAAGCTTTCGCTTCGGAGCTGAGAGGGCAGGGGGACGCACCAGCGAGGCGTAGACGTGACCCCGTCCCAGCGGCAGTGCTTTTGAGGATAAAAAGCACGGCGAACACGATGCACAAACACAAGGAGGAACTATGCTGCCGCCCCCACGCCAACCCACAGGCCAGATGCCCCCGAGTGAACGCCTGCAGCCGTGTGGCATGGGCTGTTGGGATGGACCACGAAGAAGGCATTTGGGGCGACGCCGTAGCTACCAGGTGGTGTTTGAAGCGTAATGGACGCAAACCTGGTCACGCATGGCCGCAAAGGCGTGTTCGAATAGAAACTCATGGTTTTGCCTTCGCGTCTCTATGACTTCGCCGTTCTAATCCTTCTAACGAGTTCGCATTTGCGTGGGGCAGGGCTTATCTTTAGCCACCTCAAGGTGCAGAGATTCCCTTTGGTTGCCAATGTCGCCTTGAGACCAGTGCGATTTGCCCGGTCTCAGCAGCTGGACGGCGGGCCGGCTGCTTTTGACCGGCTCTTGCCATTGCCTGGGGTCGACAGGCTTCGTGCGATACCCGATGCCGACCCAAATCAACGCCATCAACCTGTGCGCCCGCAGATCGCCATGCCCGAACAACAATCCATTTTAGAGCTTGTTGGGCAGGCGCCATGTGAGTCCCAGAGCAATGTGCAGAATTAAGCAGGCGGCTGCATCCATTTATGGTTGGGTATTTATGGTTGGGTCGTCGTGCCTTGGGCACATGAAGGACATCATGAGACACGAGTTTGCGCAGTAAGGAAGTTTCGGACGTTTCTTGGCAAAGCCACCGTGCTGTAGGGCCGCCTTGTGCGTGCGCAAGCGTGCAGCTGCCACCTTAAGTCCTTAGGTACGGACTTGCCTTACTGGGAGTCCCATTGCAGCCAACCGCCGACTGCAAGGGATTGCACTTGTCTCTTGATATAAAATTACTAGCCAAAGATGTTGGCTGAGGTAAGTAGCGCGATGAAACCCTGATGCACGTGCTTCACACCTGAATCTTCCAAGTGTGCATTTTCCCGAACCTTCCAGCCCTTTAATCGAAACAACGTTCCAATTATTTAGGACCCCGCCTGACCTCGCTTGAGCTCCAACGAATAAAGGGAAGCCACGAGGAGCCAGTTTGGGGTTCTCGAGACAAAGCCCGTCCCGGAGCATTCAAACTGGAGACTTTCAGGGTCACCACTCCTTGGGGGTCAAAAAGCGCTGGCCCCACCATGCAATGCTGCGTTGCACTGGCTTCCAACACTCTGCCGGCAGCTGGCCACGCCCCAGCTGCAACGGATGTAAGCAACAGCACGGACACCTGCAGTTGCAAGAAGAGAAGTTGCGTGAAGACTCCAAGTTGAACCGTGGATGCCCCTAGGCTAAACACTGTGGGGGCTCCTGGCTGGAGTTTTGAGTGTTTGAGCGAGCGTTGCCCATGCTGGCCAGCGTTTAGCATGAGCAGTAGAGTTGCAAGGCCATGCAACGCCTGGTGCTTGGAACACGGGCCCGTTGAAGGACTTGAGCGTTGTGTCTCGTTTGTCTGGGCAAGCAACAGCGACTTTGCAAGAGGGTCCTGCTTTGTGACGTCATGAACAAGGTTTCACCCATAGAGCGTCCTGATTCCAAGATTTTGGGCTGGTGAATTCTTAAGCCTCGCTCAGACGACGTGCTTCCTGCGGATGCCACGTCCAAACGTTGCGTGGTAGATTTGGTGTTTGAGTGGTGAAAAAGCTTTCACGCGGCGCAATTGTTGCGTGCTACGCGCGAAGGTCCTGCTAAAGCGCGATAAAACAGCAATGGTTTTTGAGCGCAGGTGGAAGCAGCCAGCGCCTCTCCAAGTGTTGCGGCTTCAAGAAAGAATTGGCGCTGTGATTTGCCCACTCAAGACGTCGCCATCCCATTGATTCTTAGGGAAATTGTTAAAATCACGCGGCTGAGCTTTACCTTGCGATAGGCCCTGTTCTCCCCGAACCGGCGCATGCAACGATATCATTTGCAAGCCACGAAGCTGGATCCAGGTGGTCCTTTCGCCATCGGCGCACGCTTCGCCGCTAAGACATGAGCTCTTGGCTGCCGTGTGCTTCCAAACGAGGCTCCAGACACGGCGGCTGGATCGGACAAAGACCCTGCCAGAAACTCGATGATTCCCTTCACGCCAGGGTCTACTCGCCGCACCCAAGAAAACCGCGAGCTTCCAATCGAACACGCGCAGGCCCGCGTTTGCACGCGGGCCTTCTGACAAGCTTGCGTCAGTAACGCTGGCAGTGGCAGCCCGAAGTGCCCAGCTGCCAGTACTGGCAGTCCTGCTTCAACGCCTCTCAACAACATGAAGAGTACAAAATGAGAAGCGAGTGGAGAAACAAAAGCAGATTGTCTGAAAATGACGCTTTTTTTCACTTTGGAAGATCCAGGTATGCGCGATTCGTTCTAGCGCCATGCGTCAGCGCATCACCTGAACCTGGTGCCGTGCTCTGTGGGATGTAGTTTCCGGTGCGCACGGGTGGAGCCAATGACGCAGCGTGAGTTTTCAGCAAGGTCTGTGTCCAGCCCGAGAGTCACCGTCCTTGGGCTACCGGTCTGGGCTTGCGCTGGAAGCTCCATGTGCTTGCATTTGCAGCATAAGAGAACCTTCCGGTCCTGAGCGAGGTGTTCAGCGGCGCCCGCAGCCCGGCGCAGCCCGGAGACTGTCAGCCAAGCTCAAACCGTTTTAAAATTTTAGTGGCAACAGCGCTATGACTTGAGCGGCGAGGCGCGTTGTGCCCGTGTCAAGCAAAGGTACCGCAGTGAGGCGCCCAGTGCGAAACTTTGGCCTCTCAAAATGCAGGGGGTTTGCGAGCTTTTGAGTGCGCGGAAGGGAGTGCAGGCGCGCACGCCCGGCCGTTTTTGCTTCGCGCAAAGAGAAACAGGGGGAGGTGGGGTGAACCTCGGCGTTGCCATGAGGCACGAGCGCCATCCCACCACCGTTGGCCGGCGTGTCCCCGCCAAGTCAATGTACATCCTGCTGATCAGGACTTGTGTTTGAAGCCAGCTTGTGCACATGGATGTGATATGCCGGCAAACTCCATGTGCCATGAATTCCCGCGACATTGAAATGGGCGGTATCCCCTGGCTCTCAATTCAGCCAAAACAGTATGTACACCATGTGGACATAATGGCGAGCGTACCCCGCCCGGTGCAGCCAAGCTCAAACAATTTTGGAGGCAACAGCGGCGTTTGGGCTCGCGAGCGTGGGTCTCCTGTTGTATCATTCTCATCAAATAAAGTCAGGAAGCATGGCGTTGTTTTGAGGTCTCAGGCCAAGTTTCAGCTGGGGTTATATTTCGTGGCTTCAGACAGGTGTCACAGACCACTGGCGCTGCTTCAAGCCTGGACATGTGAGTGAGGCATGACGGCGCAAAGGTGAAGGTCTCCCGTTTCTTGCGGTGTGCCTTAACGCTGGTCACTGGCTTAACATGGCCTGTGCGTACACTGGCAAAAGGCGCCGCCGTAGAGCTTGCGCCTAAATGTTTGTGAAGCTTGAGAGGTGTTCTAGGCCTTAGTGTTGTACCGAGGTATGCATGTTGATCCTCTTCTCCATGCTCGGCTATAATTCTGCTACTATGAGCAAGCAGCGGGAACACCGCCCAGTTCGAGCTCCGGGCAACCTTACGGCCTTTCAGAATGCAAGGGTTTGCCGCGCGATCCAAAGAAATCACGGCGCAGGTCATCATAAGCTTACACCTAGGTATACTTCCCGTCTGCATAGTTGAGGCCCACACCTGCCAGCAATATATAGTTGGTGAATATGTTTGCGTTGCGCTTTGGACCAACTTCAATGCAGAGGAAAGACCTGAGCGAAAAAGGAGTAGTTAGGCTTTATTTGTCATTTGGGTGCCTCTTTTGGGGCATAGGGGCAATGGGGTATTTCATGGTGTTCCCTCCGCAAATGAGCCTCAAACTACCGTTCAGATTGTTAGTCGCTCCCTTTCAGGCAGGCCCCAGGCGAAAGGAGGATGAGCCCGCAGCCACCTTCGCCGATTCCAGGCCAGTGCTGGAAAGCGACACCTCGCAGCGCTCTTGCGCCCCATCAGAAATGTTCCCCGTGCTGCATCAATCGAACAACTGATCAGGGCTTGCGGTTCCATCCATGACTTTCCGCGATAACATCCAAAGAGCTCAAAGCTCCTTGCAGGTCTTAGCTGCCTCCGCACCCTGTTGCGCCGCGTCCTTGGCGGCCTCATAGCCCTGCGCCGCCGTCTCCTTAGGTGCTTGGGCCGCACGACGGTGGTCCTTATAAAGTGGCAGTGCGTCGGAGCATCCGACTTTTGGGCAAACACATGAATGGCAGTGCTGGAGTGGTTGACTGAACGAAAGTCACCCTCACATCAACTCTCTGCGTCCGAATGATGAAAAAGCAGCCTCGGCCTCGGCAGTCTCTAGCTGCGCACTCTCCAGAGCCCAGCCAAATTCGGGCCCATTTTTCGGATTCGGAGCCTTTGAGTTCGCGGCAAAAACCGCCCGGCCGCTTTTTCTTTGCGCAAAGAGACAAACATGGGGAGGTGGGGCAAACCTCGGTGTTGCCGTGAGGCATGAACGCCATCTCGCCAACGTTGAACGTCCCTGCCGATATGCTGGCAAGCTCCATATACCAGGTGTTTCCTGCGACATTGAAATGGCCGGAATCCTCTGGCTCTCGATTCAACCAAAACACTAGACATTATATTCACCATGTCATGGACAGAATGGTGAGTGTACTCCGCACGGACACAGCGCGCGCCGAAGTGGTGACTCGACAAGGTGGCGCAAAGGTGGCGCACATGGGGCACGTGCGTCGGCGTATGCCCGCCCGGCGGCCAGCCAAGGAACAAATGTGCGCTAGGGTCGCGGGGCCTGGGGTATCTTTGGTTTGCTTTTAGCCCAGGGAGGCAAGGCTGGCACTAGCAGCAGGTGTCGCTTCAGAAGCAGTGCCGTTTTCCCAAGACAAGGGTGTCGGAGGGCGTGCATCTCTGCCCAGGGTGACAGCGATTGCAAGACGTACGCAAAAACGGCGATGTAAGGAGAAAGGTCGCCAAGAATCAGGTTGCCCCTGCGCAGCGCTCCATTCGGTTGCGGAGTTTGAGTCTCAAAGGCGGGCCATTGGTTGAAGGCGCGCAGCAGAACAAGCCAACCCAACCTGGGTAGACTTGGTTATTGCCAGGAGCGACATCTGTGCAAACAAAAAGACCCTAGCCTCCTTTAGAGGGCTTTCGAAAGGAGCTGTCGTTTACACCACAGGCTTCGTTCCCTGCTTAAAGAGGGGTTGGTTCAGCCCTGCGGTGGGGCTCTCAAGCCACGCAATTCAGCCGAATTGGCTTGCTCTTGCGCGAAGTGCAGCGCGTCCAACTGGGGGAAAGGACCCTAGCAAGGATCACGGTCGTGGTGCTAGCTCGCCTGTTTTGCCATCAGGCGAGCTTGCAGTAATTTGCGCGGCTGCCTGCCACGGCTGGCTGCCACTCCTCCACAAAGGGCGCTGTTCCAGCGTTTCTGCCTTGAAGCTATTGATACTTCTCCGGGCGCGAGCAGCTGTTAAGTGAACGCTGGGCGCACGTGAACAGACCAGGCAGGTCAGGCCTAGGGCTGCCTGGAGAATGACGTGGCCTGATCGCCCCCTGCCAGGGAAGAGCGTCGCAACAACTGCCAATGCCACAAGACTTGACGCACAAGGGGCAGGTAGATTTTGCACAGGCGCCTGCTTTGGGTTGCGCGCAGAAGAAGAGTTGAGAACAACGCTGATCGCGCCAGATTGCGAGAGCTTTATGCAGACTCAGGAGATCTTTGCTTGAGCCGCCTGCCCAATACTATTGCAGCGATCGTCAATCCTTGCAACTTTGCAACCACTGTACGAGAAAGGTTTTTTCGGTTGGCCGCCTTTTCCAGCATGACGCCGAAGCGTGCAACTTTTGGCATGGCCTCAAGAGCGAAGTGTAAGTCGCTTCTTTGGGCGCCTGGCGAGAGAGGCCACACGGCCAGCCCATACCAGGCCAGTTTTGGCATTCGAGCGTTTTGTTTTGCTCAACAACGATTCGAGCACTTTTTGAAGTTGCCGAACTGCTTTGGTCAAGTGCTCGAGAGAAAACTGGACCTGCAGTTCAAGCGCAGATCCCCGCCACTCGGGCGCATATTTCCACAACTCGGGCGCAATGCCAAAATGTGCGCGCAGCGAAGGCTCTGCTCTGCTAGCTGCGTTGCATTTACCCGTACTCGCGCACGAGTTTGCTGAACGAAAGCTCGAGGAAAGTCTCGAAATGGGATTCCGCGGAAGGATTCGCAAAGCCGTGTTTGACCTCCCGCGCGTCGCCCAAAACAGCTAGTTGCTAGGGCGCTGTTCCAGCATTTCTGCCTTGAAGCTATTGATACTTCTCCGGGCGCGAGCAGCTGTTAAGTGAACGCTGGGCGCACGTGAGCAGACCAGGCAGGTCAGGCCTAGGGCTGCCCGGAAAATGACGTGGCCTGATCGCCCCCTGCCAGGGAAGAGCGTCGCAACAACTGCCAACGCCACAAGACTTGACGTGCAAGGGGCAGGTAGATTTTGCATGTGCGCATGCTTCGGGTTGCGCGCAGAAGGAGAGTTGAGAACAACGCTGATTGCGCCAGATTGCGAGAGCTTTATGCAGACTCAGGAGATCTTTGCTTGAGCCGCCTGCCCAATACTATTGCAGCGATCGTCAATCCTTGCAACTTTGCAACCGCTGTACGATAAGGGTTTTTCGGTTGGCCGCCTTTTCCAGCATGACGCTGCGCGTGCTCTCGTGGCACATGCGCACGCAGGTTTCAAAAAGCAACCCATTGTGCACTGAAGGCTGAAACTCTTGGCATGGCCTGCGACTCAAAAGCGAAGTGTGAGTCGCTTCTTTGGGTGCCTGGCGAGAGAGGCCACGCGGCCAGCCCATACCAGGCCAGTTTTGAATTCCATTCGAGCACTTTTTGAAGTTGCCTAGCTGCTTTGGTGAAGTGCTTGAGAGAAAACTGGACCCACAATTCAAGCGCCCATCCCGCTACTCTGGCGCAATTGTCTGCAATTCAGCCGCAATGCCAAAAAGTGCATGTGCCCGCACTTGCGCACGAATTTGTTCAATGAAAGCTCGAGGAAAGGCACGTGTATGGTGTCCTCAAGGTTTAGCGAGACACTGGTCACCAGGGGTTGCTAAGGCGTGCCCGGTGGTCGGATATGACACTTTCGTGGACTCTGCGAGTTGCTTGCAGACCACGCCAAGGAGCAACGGATTGGGCCTGCCAGGAAAGCTTCATGTGCAATCGCTGGCCGCACACTGCGCGAGAGTGGCGCTGGTCATTGCCCGATGGAAGAGGTGCTCAATTTCAGCAGTCGTCCGTCCTTGCAACCAACTGCCTTTTGATTCGCAGCATGGTGCCCATGCTAGCGGCAAAAGGCAAGTGTGATGGCCCCGGGCTGCGCAAGTCTGCGATTTTTGCCTTCCGGCCTCTCAGCAGCCCGCCCTGCATGGCGCATGTGGACAGATGGGGACCCGTGTGGACGGCGTGGCGCACAGTGAAGACAACGCCTCTGTATGGGTGTGTTGTTTCTCCTCTGTCTTGGCTGCAGCTGCCAGACCATCCGATATCCTCAGAAAACGCCTTCACTTTGCAATGGTAGCGAGAGGCTAGGCAAATGGCTGAGAGAGCGGCCCTGTCAAATGGTGTTGAGCGGCGCGTGGACATCGCAAGAGTTGGGCGAAAGGAGTGGCTTGCGATTGGGGGAAGTGATTGAGGGCGGACAATGGTTTTTCGTTTTTGTAGCTGCACGCCCTTAGTGCCTTCGTGCTTTCTCGGCGAAATCTTTCGAAGGGGCCAACATTTTGAAACTTCAGGTTTGCCAGGGATGGGTGTGTCGTTTTTAGGGGACCCCCCAAAATGTTCCTTTTACGTTCCTTCAAAACCAACAAACACAAAGGGGCGCCTCAAAAAAGATATCAACACAACCACACCCGTATGCTCTTTTCTTTCCTTGGGCGCATGTGCTGGTGGAGGTACTTTTGGGAACAGGACTTGGGTTCTGGGTTGTTTTGCGTGGGTGCTCTTTTGCATCACTGGTCTTTTGTGTGACCCAAAAGGCCGGATCAAAGGTGCTATGAGTTTTTTGTCAGTTTTGTCCATTGCAAGCAGCGGAGAGAGACATTTTTCGTGAAGATGTGCGCTGCGCCACACACGTGGAAACATGCGGACAGTTTTGCGGAAGTGATTTCTTCATGGAAGGTTTGTGGAAGCTTTGTGGTTTGATATGACATGTTTTTGTTTGTGAACGGCCCTTTCTGTGCCGATATTAGTGGAAGCGAGGCTTGTAAAACACGGAAGGACGCGGAAGTAGCCGATGAAAAACATGTGCCGCGGAAACCCGCAGAAGGAAGCTTGATGGCCCACGGCCAGGATACGGCAGGGCGGCGGAAACTTGAATAATGCCCAAACAATTTTTACCGGAATAAAATCTAATGCTGAGTTGGATAGGCCTAACTTGCGAGGGAAACGCAGTCAATTTCAATCGCCTGCAAAGAAGAGGTGGTCGCAGAAACTGGCACGCGAACCTGCCTGTAAGTTGGTCGAGCCGGAATTCTTTCAGCGCGGTCCAAGCCAGCGCTTTTCAAACTTCAGGCGCCTCAGGCCATATTTCAAAGATGGGTGTGGCTCAAAATCAAACACCAGGGGTTACGCAAATTTTGGTCCATGTTTCCACTTACCAGGGTTCCATTTTGGCACCGACTTTTTGAGCCACAGCCAGATGTTCAGGCGTTCCAAGTGCGTAACCCGCACTTGGCAGTGCGTCGATGCAACTTTTGGCTCGAGTCAACTTTTAGAAGGTAAGTGGTTTGATCAGATCGGGTCAGTTTGGCGAAGGGAGCTTCTCGCTTCAAAGCAAGCCAGCTGTTGGGCTCCAAAGGTTTGTTGTTCGAATCTCATCTTTTGTTTGGCTCCAACAGCCCAAGCTTAGATTTACTCGGAGGGTTATCTTTAAAGCCGCAAGCAGAGTCAACCTGCATGGAAGCCGGAGACTGGCGGCGTGCACATGGTGCAGTTCTGAGCCGTACTCGAGGCCGTTTGTTCGTTGCACTTGCTTGTTTTTATGATAACACTGGCTTGAAACGAGCTTCCTCAAAACGGTCCCGGAACCCCGGAAACGCATTGCTCATGAATTCATCGACCTGCTCCTCGCAATATGGCCAATGGTTTTCCTAAGGAGGTCCAAGATTCCAATGCTCAAGACCATGAGCACCAGAGACTCCGTACTACTGGAGCGGTCACGAATAGGTCGGAAGTTCGTAAGAAACCAACCATTCGGGGAAAAAACAACTGGGACTGTGTGAAACCTGCGCTAACTTTGGCCTTAATAGATTTGCCTTCACTGTTTTCTCTCTTAAACCTGCCGAACGGGGGAGTTGGACCCCTTTCAGCATTGGTCAGCACACTTCGCACAGCGCTTGAACTGAGGTTGCTCAGCCGTGCTGAAACATCCAGTCGGACGGAGAGAAAGTTCGGTCGATCCCCACCAGTCCATTAAACTTGCGAACATTCTGCCACTTTTGACTCATCTTCTTGAAGCCAAGCTGGGCATGCCGAGCTGCTTGCCAGTTTCGCTGTGGGGGGATTAAGGCTGCAGACGCCTGCTCCTGCAGGCCGTTCTTGATTCCTTGAGCCCCAGCCCTGCGTGCAAACCGACTTCTGCGCTTAGGCGCGCGTCTTTTTTTTGCGGAGCTTGCAGCTTGAAAGGCGTGCCTGACAAGCAGATCAACCAGCATTGGACGTGAGATCCGGACACGCTTGAGCCACAGCAGCAAGGACGGACCTCTGATGTTTCATTCTCGCCGCCTTCGCGCAGGGGATTGTCGGAGTCCAAACCACACAAGTCGGAGTGAAGCCTGGTTGGCTTTGCGCTACTCTGCCCATGAAGCCACACGTTGCATGCCGCTCTTGGCATGAGTGGTGTGCGGATGGCGCGACACCAGAGCAAAGCGCTTTGCCACAACGCGAGGGCTTGATCTGTTGCAGACACCCAGACTACTTCTCCGAGGGTTCTCCTCATAACTCTTCCGGGCGCATGATATTTGTGACGAGGGCATGCTCAACGAGGCTGTGCCTGAGCGCCTTGGGTTCTCGCCTGCAACGCTTGACTGTCGCAAGAGCTTTGCGCTCGAGCGCCAGGAGTGCGGCCTGCGTTAGTTACTTCTTCGAGCTGCCGCAAGCACAACGGATGAAGGCAACTCAAGGACAATTGATGAAGGGCGTAGTTTGCTGAGGGCAAAGTGCCCAGTCGGAACGCGTTGAGGAGACGTGTTCAATTCCGCGGGCGTTCTTCAAACTCAAGGTGAAGCGCTCTTGATTCAGAGCGGCCTTCGAACGACACATTGCTTCGAGGCGGTTTCAGCAGGCTTCGGTTGAAGTGCCAGCAATTGAAGGTGCAAGTGCCAAGCTGACACGGCTTCAGGCACTGGTAAGGCGACAACCCCTATGCAGTGAGCAGGAAACCTGAAGTGCCGGGAAGCCCTCGCCTTGGGCAGCTCCTTCCCACGTGCTCGAGACCTCGGTTTGCCCAGGCAGTTTGCCAGTCGCGCGCGGCGAGCGTTGACCTGAAACTGGAGAAGAGTGTAGCGCACCGGTCCCACGTGCGCAAGAGGAATGTCGGTGTTTGAGGCCGCCCTTGTTTGGATTGGTTTGAGGGGAATCCAAAAGGAAAACCATCCATTTTGCGGGGCCCAGAAAATGTTGTATTGTTCCAGCTAATTTGGCCAAGTGTGCAGACCGCCCACAAGAGGGCGCCAGTGTGCTGCTTCACGCTGCGCGTCCCTGCGGGCAACTGCCAAGAGCGGCCAACTGCCAAGAGGTAACTTGGGACGCAGGGTGGATATGGCCCACGTTGAACGTAGGCTCGAGAACTCCGTTCCGGCCCTGAGTGCTTTTTTCATGACCCTCGCTTGAATCAGGCAAAAAAGGCTTCAAGCTTGGCTTCATCTGAAGGGTGCCTTCAAGGACCAGGCTGCTTTTGCTGTGGGCCCAAGGTGTTGAAACAGACAGGCCACGCCTTTTGAGTTTCTTGACAAAGGCGGCAGGCCTAAGGGCCTAAGGGCCTAAGAGTTGGCGATAGGTGGACCCTGGGCTTGCATGCGCTCCATGAAATCTCTTGGGGCAGTCTTGCCTTGCTCTCCGGCGAGTTGACTGGAGAGAGTGTGCCGTGTCTTCTTCTTGGGCATTTTTCGCGAAGATTCTCCCACCGCGGCCATTGCTTCGCGGTGCGACAGGTAGCCATAGCGCATTGGGCTCGGTGCAGGCTTCGGGGCTCCGAATGCCCGCGCGCGTTTTCTTGGGAGTCCTGGGGGTCGCTGCTAAGCTGATGGCGTGCATTCTTGCGGAATGCGCCGGCACGGTTGCGAAGCGGAGCTCCTTGAGTCTCCCGGGATGGGTGAGAGGAGTTCCCCGAGCGCCAGAGTCTGCCGAGCTGCTTCCTTTCCAGGCTCTGTGGAGCCGGTCTAGGCAAGCCATCGCGCAATGACCCTGTTTTTCTTGTTGCGTGTCAGCCCAGGCGAAAAACATTCACATGTTGAACTCGTGAAGGGTCTCAAAGGCCAGCCCAAGCGGCTTCAATTGGTTTGAGGGAGTCGCGTTGTGCTTGAGTCTGCAGCCTTTGGCGCAGTGATCCTCTCTGGCTAGGGTTCAAGTACCTTGGCGTCTTGCAATGAAATGAAAGGGACCTCCACTTTTCAACAAACGCGCAGCTCCTTGCTTAAATTTGACCCTTGGGTCGGAGAGTGCGAAAAACAGGGCGGCCCTCATCAGAAAGCCCGAGAACTTGATTGAGTTGGATGAAGCCTGGCGGCGTTGAAACCTTTGACCTGGTTTTTGAAGTTTGCACTCGGCCTGCATTTGCTTTCGGTTTGCATCTTGCACTCAGGCTGTTTCGTTCATCGAGCCTTGCTGTCAGCTACACTCGTCACGCCGAATGGGTAGAATCTTCAGGGATGAACATAATGGTGTCTCGTGTCTCCTCCTACGCAGCTGCGCGAAATTGCTCCACGTCCCAGAACAGATTAAGTTTTCGCGCCGCCCTGAAGGAGCTTTTGCATCGTTTTTTGAGTCAGTTGCCCTTTGCTTGAAAGTAGCTGCTGGCGTTCCCTTGTCTTCGGGCGATATGACTGAAAGATAATATGAGCGGCAAGCGCAAAGTGCGTGTGCAAGCCAACTGGCGGGCATTTGGGTCGTCTGGGTTCGAGTTTGCAGCAGTTCCTTGGCATGGACCAACAGGCTGTGTTCGCTTCGCCTCGATGTTCGTTTTTTTCCCCGCCAGGGTCAACAGGCCATCTTTCATGTCTGGTGAAAGCTTGCTTCGCCAAGTTCAAACTTCGCTTTGCTTCTGTGAGCGAGGCCTGAGAGGACTACTTTTGGCTGAATTGGGCGGGGCACTTGATATATCCACTGAGCCTGGAAAGAGACAATTTGGGCGGAGTAATATTTTCAGGCTTGCAACGGCTTTCTGGTGCTGTGCCAAGGAAGCATCCCAAAGGGCTTAGGAATGGGTCTTGCTGCCCCGCAAGATAACACTGTGCGCTGGTCTCTGACCATGCGCTAGGCTCTTAGGTCAATAGCCCACCCCGAACAAGACTCGCGCGTCTTGGCAGGGAAGGTCTTGCTGCGCAGAGTTATTTCTCAGGCTGTCAGAGGCCACTGCCAATTGCCTGGATGCGGAAGTCTGCGAGAGCATCTATTCTTAACCCAAGCATGCTACTACGGTGTTGCCTGAAAACCAAAGGTCGCAATGCTTTCCACTTGCTTGTTTGGGCTTGGAGTCACCCAGATCTGTGGACATGCTTTTTTGTGTGGCGAGGGACGAGCCCTCTTTGATTCGCTTCGTGCAAACAAAATCACTTGCAAAAGGCCAGCCGGCTCTTGAATCGGGTGGGTCAGTTGATATGAGCCTGGAAGAAAACAAATCTGGCCAGAATCACATGCGTCCGCCAGCTTTCTCAGGAACGTAGTCAACGTCTTCAGGCTTGCAACGGCTTGGTGCTGCGCACAGGTGGGCGTTTGGGCAGGGAGCATCAAGAAGGTTGTCCCCAGTGGTTCAAAGGGCCGAGAAGCACAGCGCGGTCCTCTAAAAAACTCGCTCCGATTAGTTCGTCTAAAAGGAAAAGCCGGGGTTAATCCAATAGCCCGCCTCTCGAGAGCATGGCCCACTCCCTTAAAGTCGATTTCATTGAGAGCTTCGCGGCCTTCGGAAATGGTCAAGGTGCACTCCGCCCCGACACGCAAGTCGCAGCTTGCGAGTGCAAGTGTCGCTCGCGAAATACAGTTTGGCAGTTCGAAAGTCGAAACTTTCCAAGGCAAGTGTAGCATACGAATCGCAACTTTTCAGTACCAGTTTAGCATGCAAAGTACACTGCGCGAGGGGTCGGGCTGTCTGAAACGCGAAGTAGGGTGTGCTTCTTCCCGATATTTTCTCGGCCAAGGCCAGGATTTGCGAGAAGAAGGTCCTCGGCTATGCGAACACTCAGACAACCCTCTGATGTCTACCTGCCTGTGTGTTTCCGGGAAGCTCTACGCCCGTGGCCGTGTGCAATGTGTGGATAGGCGCCTTAAATGAGTCAGACCTGGCCTGGGACAACTCGAGGATGTTGGTCCCTCGCCGTGACTACAGCAAGGAGGGGGTGCATTGTTCGCTGGACTGTGTGTGCGCTGGTCTTTATGCGTGCGCTGGGCTCTTGAAGTCGCGCGCTGAAGACGACTCCCACCAAGTGACAGCCAAGGTGAGGCTGTCCGGAGGCCACTGCCAATTGCCTGGATGCGGAAGTCTGGGAGAGCATCTGTTCTTAAGCCAAGCATGCTGCTACGGTGTTGCCTGAAAACCCATGCCTGCCATGAGAAGTCGAGTTGCTTGTTTGGGCTAGGGGTCTCCTAGACCTGTGGAAGTGATCTTTTGTGTGGCGAGGGACAAGCCCTTTTTGCTGCGCTTCGTGCAAACAAAATCACTTGCAGAAGGCCTGCCGGCTCCTGAATCGGGCGGGTCAGTTGACATGAACCTGGAAGCCAATGTGGGCGTCGTCACACGCCGGCCACTGTCTCAGGAACCTTGCAGGCAAGGTTTTCAGCTTGCGGCTTTCCGGTGCTGCGCAAAGGAAGCACCAACAACAAAGGACCCACGAATTTCCTGGGAGAGAAGAGCAGCGTGGCGCTGGTCTTACGGCCTCGCAAGATAAAGGTCTCCGACCATGTGCAAGGCTCTTAGGTCAATAGCGCACCACGACGAAGATTCGCGCTTCACAGGGAAGGTCTTGCTTGGTAGGCTCTTTCGACCCTTTAGCTTTGGACCCTTTTAGACCCTAAACCCTCTCAGAGGCCACTGCCAGTTGCCTGGATGCGGAAGTCTGGGAGGGCATCTACCCTTTAGCCACCGCAGTGATGCCCGCAGTGTTCAATTGCTTGCTTGGGCTTGGGGTCTTCTGGACCTGTAGAAGTGCTTGGTTTGGTGTGGCGAGGGACGAGCCTTTCTTGATACGCTTCGTGCAAACAAAACCACTTGCAAAAGGTCAGCCGGCTCCTGAATGGGGCGGGGCAGTTGATATGAGCCTGGGAGGTGTTTTTGCATGCAAGCAAAAGTAGTCCGGAGAGGGACATTGTTCTTGAAAATGCGGAAGGCTTCTTGGAAGGGATTTCTCTCGCGGAAGGCTTTGCGGTTTGATATGAACTGTTTCAGCTCGTGGGCGTGGAAAGCACGCGGAAACGGCAGAGAACCAAAGCAGCCGGTGGACTTCATGGAAGGTTTGCGGAAGGTTCGCGGAAGCCCCGCGGAAGGGTGGCCCCGTGTCTGCAGGCAAGTGCCCATGTAGCACCGGTAGCCCAATGGAGCCCAAGCCTACACACGCTGCACCAACATAGGCGGAAGTACTTAAACAGACTTTCCTTTCTGCGCCAATACTCACGGAAGCACATCTTGTGAAAACATGCGCCGCGGAAGATTTGCGGAAGCAACCGGTAGAAAACAGGTGCCGCGGCAGTCTGCGGAAGGGACCTCTTGGCCCGCGGAAGGGTCCGCGGCAGCTTGAATTATGTCCAATCAAGTTTGAGGGGAACAACAACCAACGCTCAATTTGGGCAAAATCACATGCGCTGACTAGTTTCCTCAGGAACGCTGTAAACAACGCGAACGGCCTCTCAACAGATCCACTATGGCTTATGACTATTGCGAGACTTGGCGCGCCCCTTGTGGCTTTCCTTCGATTGCAGCATTCTTGCGGCGCAGTACCGGTGGTTTGTTTCGAGCCTTGTGCTTAACGGTAGCAGGCCATTGACGTAGCCAACAGCCGCAAAGAGCCGAGAGCGGGCGCGAGCGTGGCAACGCGACACGACAGATTTGGTGCCTGAGCAACCCTCTGCAGTCGTCAGTCCTTGCTTGCCGTGTCGCCTTCCCGTTGTAAGCTTCCACACTGCGCCGGTGCCGCTCTCTGGGCATGCCGCACGGGCCTGTGCGGAAGCTGTTCAGCGCCGTGCCGAGCTTCTGAGGGCTTTCTTAGAGAACCCATAAAGCATGCGCCCGCGCAATGGCCCGGCTTCAAACTCAGCGCAGCGAAAACGCTGCTCGAGCTGGCAGGACAATCGGAGGACTGATGCGCCCACAACGCAGCTTAAGACTCAAGGGACTAAGAGCTCGGAGCTGAGCACAAGGCTCTGCCAAATGGTGCTCGCATTGAGCAATCCACACTGCAAGAGTTGAGAAAAAGAAGGCCCTGTGATGCCTTGGCTGGAGAGTTGTGGTTGAGGACTTGCGCGGGCCTCAATGGTTTCATCTTTCGTAGCCCCTCTGAGCTAGTTTGTCAGTTTGTCCATTGCAATGCTAGTTTCTGGTGGCAAGAAGCGTGTTCCTGCTCTGTGAGACTTTACGTGTGTCGAATTGCGGGCTCAGTTGAGTGACGTTCTTGTTTTTGAAAGTAGTGGGGAGAGGAGCACTATTGACATGTTTCTTGTACACGCGCACCGCGCCACATGCACGGAAGCTTGCGGAGAGTTTTGCGGAAGGGATTTTTTTGCGGAAGGTTTGGGGAAGCTTGACTTGTTTCAGTTTGTCAACAGCCCTTTCTGTGCCGATACTAGTGGAAGCAAGGCTTGTCAAACATGTGCTACGGAAGGACGAGGAAGTAACTGATGAAAAGTATACGGCGGAAGCCCGCAGAAGGAAGCTTGATGGCCCGCGACAAGGATACGGAAGGGCCCGCGGAAGCTTGAATAATGCGCAAGCAAGTTTAATTGGAATGACATCTAGCACTCAGTTGGGATGGCCCTAAATAGCGAGGTTGTATTTTATTGCTTGACTTTGGAGAAACAGTGAGCATTGAAGCAGCGCCCGGTCCACCGGGTGTCAAGACGGGCAAAGTTTAAATCCTTCCAAACCAAAAGGATAGAAGGAGGTTTCCCGAAAACGCCCCTATGCTCCCGTTGCCTGGTCACCCCAGTGGACATAGCCAATTTGACAATTGGCACGTGCTCCAAGGGCCGGCGACCACTGTTGGTAGCTCCACTTCACTAACCAGGGAGCAAGTTGTTGGTGTTGCTCTTTGCGACCAATTGCTTGAGCTTTTGATTTACAACTTGGTTTTGGGTTCCCCGGCTCTCCTTGTTTTGAAGGCAAACCCGGTGCCAACAAAGAGGCGCAACGAGCACTTTTCATTCCTCGCAGTTTCGCAAATGACCGGGCAATTTCTGGGCGCCGTGTTGGTTCCTTTCTTGGGTGCTGACCAGTCGCTGCATATGCCTAGACAAAAGGCTCCAGCTGTCCGCCCGTTTCCTCTGGCAAAACATCATCCCCGGTTCCTTTTTGTGTGGGACATGTGCATACATTATTCACCCCCTTTTGCGTCTCAATTTGAACGGCCCTCCTCGTCCCCAAGCCTGCCAGCGCATTTGCACAGAGGCATCAGCCCATAGTGCTCAAGGACCCTCATGTTCCTTCTTTTGGACCTTTAAAGGTGGAATGCTTAAAAACTACTCGAACAACTACATCAGTTGAAGCCGTGTCCCATGATTGTCTGCTCTCCTGCCTGTTCCGGAATCAAAGTTGCGAGTGACTAGTCTCTCCTGCCTGTTCCGGAATCAGAGTTGCGTCCAGTCATTCAATCTGGTGCCTAGTGAGCGAGTCATTGGGATGGCCCCAGTCTGCAGTGACAAAGACACCCAGCCCATGCAGGCAACGTAGCCCCTTGCTAGAGATGGGCCGTGGCCAAGGCTTAAGGCTCACTTGGGAGCAAGCTGTCAGATTCAGATGAACAAACTGGGGGCTTCTTACTTTAGGCTTGGCATGTTGGTTTTGTGACATGGATTTACAGTTTTTGCACTTTCCCTTGTTGGAGTTGTGCTCCTGTTTAGTTGACGGCCTACAAGACAGTGCAATGAAAGCATTCAGGCGCTGCTTCTTGTTCATTCTTTGGCTTGCACTTGTTCTTTTGTGAACGATTACCGCAGGCGTTGAGTAAGGACCTTTTTTTGCTTGCCTCCATTTGTTCAAGTTTCCTTCCCACCCCCCGATTCTCAGAAGTGATGGGTTCGGGAGGTACTGATGCAACGCTTTGTCCTGCTGATGCTTCTTGTTTTTTTTTGGTTTGTGTTCTTTCCTTGTGAAAGCTCTGCAGCATTGGAGTGGGGGACTTTGGTTCGCCTTCGTTTGTTCATGTTCCTTTCCCTAGCTGGGGACTCAGTTAGGTTTTGTTGTGGAAACTTCCTTTGCCATGTTGAAAATGCCCCTGCAAGGTCAGTGCGAGGGAACTTGCCAGATGTGAGTCGGACATCGACTATTCGGTGCCCAGATTCGTTTGAGCAAAGGCGGTCTTTCAATTTGATCAGGTCCAAGCTGAACATATTGTAGTGGCAGGGCGCAATTCGGCAAAAGGCGCTTTGCCGCTTGCGAGGCTCACATGCCTGCGAGCCTGCCGCTACCAGTCCTTATGCCGCGGCGCAACTTTCATCGAGTTTGACCCCCCTTTCCATCTTCGGCCATAACCCTGCCAACGGAATTTTGGGGGGTGAGAGTCAGTCTTGCTGTGAGCCAGCGGTGAGACCTGCCATCACCTTTTGCAGGTGCGCGCCGCGGCGCACACTCTCGCCCTGCTCCCCCGAGCTCTTAGTGCACATGAGTTATTTTTGTTTGAAACGAATGGTGAGGACAGAGGGCCCTTCATCACAAGCGCCGTGCTTTGGGCTTGAAGGCCCCTTCATTTTGTCAAAGGGGTCAGCTGCATGTAAGCCGATGAAAATGGAAGACCCCTTTCCCGTGACAAGTCGACTGCCGAATTGCCAGGATCATCAGTCCTTGCGATTATTATTTCAGAGCAAAGCCGTTGGGGTATGCAGTCAGAAGAACTGGGACAGCCTGGCGCAGTTCGTGGCTGGGGGTCAGAACTTTGTGGTCGCAGGTCTGTTAACGGTTCGTGGGGCCTTGCGCTTAGACTTGTTAGAAGCTCATGGGAGCCGGGGGTTGACAGTGCGCTCTCGCTGCCGCGCAAGGGTCCGAAGCTGGCGCTGGCAGGGGCACTTTGGGCTCGCAACAGGCGATTTAAACACGTTGTTTGGGCACCCCCAGTTTTGACTTTAGAGTTAACAGCAGCAAGTCAGTTCATTTCCTTGGCGACGTCCCGCGTGCATGGCGCTCTTGAAGCGCAAGTTCGGCTTTTGGACCTTTTATCAAGCTTGCAAAGCAATTTCTCGATTTCTTCGAAGGCGCTTTATGTGAGTTTCGCGTGAGTTTTGCTAGCCTGCTTTGGAGCGGAAGCGACGCGATTCATCGTGACCACCTGGAGGTCTCCTTTGCACAAAGCCAGATGGGATATGTCCAGTCTTGTTTGTGGATGCCTTTGCCGCGGCCCCCCAAGAATCGCGGGGCGCCTGCAGTTCAGCGTGGGGTAGAAATTGCCCCTCTCGCACCGCCGCCCATGCTCTTCTGCGCGCCGTCTGCAAAACTCCTGTTGACTCAAGTTGTGTGCAGGTCACGCAGAGCGCTGGGCCCATCGGCGCGCCAGCTGGGTTTGCGCCACTCGTTCTGGCGCCCCTCGTGACGCATCGCGCCAACCACATCGTGCCCCGACAGGGGAGGCTTCCGCTTGGCAATTGGGACACCCGTGCTCTTGTGGGCTGACGTGCAACTTCCGTCGTTGACTTTGCAAGTTGTTTGCAGATTAAATCAGGCTCCGAATGCGTTGTGCCGGTCAGTTGCAAACCTTCGCGCGCAATGAGCCAGCAAAGGCAGACCCCCGTTCCGTAGTACGTCGGAGGGCGCGGGGCGCAGTAGTAAGCTTCTTATAGGGGCGGTCACACCCACTGTTGCGCCCACAATCTTCCCCACGTCCCCCCCTGCGTTGGTGTCCGGGAGAAGGGGTGGCCAAAGTGAAACAAAATTAAATGTATAGAGCTGCCTGTGCTACCGCAGTTGCTGGCTGGGCCCGCGTGTTTTTTGCTACAGCAAACGAAACATCCTGGGCCCAGCAATGTCAACTTTCCTTTTCCGGATCCTCGGACACACGGCTATAACAGGCAGTCAGAACGAGCGAAAGTGGACAGATGAGGGCTCTCCTGGACGCCGGCTAGTTGTTGAGGGTAAAAGAAACCAGCAAGCTGAAGCAAAATTTGGTGAACGCGCCCGCCTTTACATGAAGGCAGAGCCACGCTTAGACTCCCTTGACTGCGCACTTTTCTTGATTCAAGATGTGATAGTGTGACAACACCCATGTCAACAAATGCCCGAGCAATTCCACTTGCTGTAATGATGGTCATTGCGTTTGGACCACGCCTCAACCTTTGAATTCCAGGCGACGAAAAGTGGAAGCTGCCTTGGGTCGGTTTTTGAGTTGATGGCTGAGCCCCTTATCTTATCAAGGGTTTTAGCCACTGCTCATCGGCCCGCATGAGTTGAAGAGGTGCAGGCGGCCGTCAAATGCAACCCGCGGCCTTTCAACTGAGGGTTTGGCTGCCGGAAGTCAGAGCGCGCCTTGCAATGGCACTCCCAACTGGGGAAGCACCGAATCTTGACATAAAGATCAGCTGAGGTTTTGTTGATACTGCCCGCACGCGCTGGCGCTCAAAAGCCTCCCTCCAGAAAAGGGCAGACTCATGCCAGCGGCAATCAGCATCCCACGCATGGAAGCTCTTTCGGCTGCAATTGTTGTTTTGTTTCTTTGTTTGTTTGTTTATTTTTGCTTTTTTAGTTGTTTGCTTGTTTTACCTTTTTGTTTTGTTTGTTTGTAGTTTGTTTCTTGGTTGTTTGTTTGTTTGCTTGCTTGTTTGTTTGCTTGCTTGTTTGCTTGTGTGTTCGTTTGTTTGTTTGTTTGTTTGTTTGTTTGTTTGTTTGTTTGTTTGTTTTATTTGTTTATTTGTTTGTTTGTTTGTTTGTTTGTTTGTTGTTTGTTGTTTGGTTGGTTGTTTGTCTGTTTGTTTGTTTGTTTGTTTGTTTGGTTGGTTGGTTGGTTGGTTGGTTGGTTGGCTGCTTGGTTGTTGGCCTGCGAATTGCTCGTATGCATGTTTTTGTGGCTTTGTGTGTTGGGTTGCTTCATGTTGGTCTCAAAGGAAAGGCGTGCTCGCTGGACCAAGCCCATCCATCGCTTGCACAGCCTCCTCGCATCCTTTCGCGTCTCGCTATGTCCAGCCACGGGCCGCTCCAGGAAAGAGAAAGCCAGAGCCTGACAGCAGCGCAGCAGACAGCTGCAGAAGGCGACGCCAATAATGACAATGCCGAGGATGCGGGCCTGCAGGAGAAGATCGAGAAAGGCCTTGCCACCGCGAAAGAGAAGGCGGCTGAGGGCTACGCCGCTGCCAAGGCAAGTGGCTGAGAAGCCTTCAGACCTATTGTTTTGCTGGCAGCCAGTCAGCTAATGAATGTACGCCAATGTGGGGAATCCCTGTATGAAGTTCAGGGCGCCATTGAACCAAGGCTTACATGGTAAGGTTTGGTACCATGTCCCCTGAGGGTGTTGACTTGATGCCTTGTGTTTTGTGGACACTGGACAACAGCCCGGCGACTGCAAACTCTCCTGTCGCATTGCTTACTTGCAGTGTGCTGGTGCTGGGGGCCGATTGGCTCATGGTATTGATCAAAAGGGCTGGCCAAATGGCCAACGCTCAATGATGCGCTGTCGAGGATGCAGGCCTGCAGGAGAAGATCGAGCAAGGCCTTGCGACCGCGAAAGAGAAGGCGGCCGAGGGCTACGCCGCTGCCGAGGAGAAGCCTTCAGACACCAAGGATGACAGTGTCGAGGATGTGGGCCTGCAGGAGAAGATCGAGCAAGGCCTTGCCACCGCGAAAGAGAAGGCGGCTGAGGGCTACGACGCTGCCAAGGAGAAGGTGCAGCAAGTGGCTGAGAAGCCTTCAGACACCAAGGATGACAATGCCGAGGATGCGGGCCTGCAGGAGAAGATCGAGCAAGGCCTTGTGACTGCGAAAGAGAAGGCGGCTGGGGGCTATGATGCTGCCACGGAGAAGGTGCAGCAAATGATTAAAAAGCCTTCAGACACCAAGGATGACAATGCCGAGGATGCGGGCCTGCAGGAGAAGATCGAGCAAGGCCTTGTGACCGCGAAAGAGAAGGCGGCTGGGGGCTATGATGCTGCCACGGAGAAGGTGCAGCAAATGACTAAAAAGCCTTCAGACACCAAGGATGACAATGCCGAGGATGCGGGCCTGCAGGAGAAGATCGAGCAAGGCCTTGTGACCGCGAAAGAGAAGGCGGCTGCGGGCTACGCCGCAAGGTGCAGCAAGTGGCTGAGAAGCCTTTAGACGAAAAGAAGCATGACCCAACTTTCATTGACAAGGTGCAAGGCGGTCTATCCATCCGCTGCGCAGGAGAAAATGGTTCACGGCTATGAGGCTTTCAAGCACCAGGTGGTTGGTGGGCAAGCTGAGATGCACGTTGAGGCGACCAAGGCTCTCACTGGCGAGAAGGAGGAGGGCAAGAGTGGCAAGAGTGGCAAGGTTGGTGGTTCGTGAAAGGCGCGACAAGACCCAAGGTGAGTTTTGAGTGGTTGCCAGTCACTCCGTACAGCTTGAATTTTACTGCTTCCCTGTACCTACTCAGTCCTTCACTTTTCTGTTGATGATGCTGCATGCAGATGCCATACACACAGATCCTGACATTTTATTCGACACGGTTGGTGTTGACGGGCCACGTCGGGGAATCAGAACTGGCAGAGGAACAGTTTTAGCCGAATTGCCTTTACGGCATGGCTGTTTAGAGGAGAGTTTTTTCACTGCGTCAGTCCTGAACAGCCCGCACATGGCAAACAGGATGCAAGAAGCCGAGATTGCAGCTGTTTGCCTTTGAAAGCCACTTATATGGATTCATGCCTGTGCTTGCGGGTGGCATCAAGTATTGAGGACCCAGCCCCAGAAAAAGAGAGAGAGAGAGAGAGAGAGAGAGAGAGATAGAGAGGCCGGGTAGCAGTCGCAGCGGTAAACAGGGGGACCATTTGGTGTGTGAAAATGCAAAACAAAAAACATCGGGAACCCCGAAGATAACGCCTATGCCACCGGGGCAAAGCAGCTGCTCGAGAGCGCGCCGGAGGTCATTGGTCATCGCATTCGACAGGTACTAGCCAGTATATGGGTGGGGTTCATGTCCGCCAAGCACTTTGGAGGTGGTTCCCGTTGAAATCCGAGCCAAATGCTGATTCGCTTTTTCCGTGTTGGTCCTGTCACGGCAACCCAAAGCTGCGAAACCAGCTGCCTCCTGCTGCATTTGGTCTTTTCTTTGGAGATATGTTTGTTCAGTCCCCAAACTTAAGTTGTGCTATGCCCAGTGATTCCGTTGTGTATGGGTAAACAGCGAGGCACCTGGAGCCGTCTTCAGACGGCCAGGGTCGGTGGCTGAGTTGGCTTGGCCACTGGTAGTGGAACCACTGAAGTCCCAGCTGGTTCGTTTTGAAGTTCCAGCTGGTTCTAGGAAGTCGATTCCTCACCAGTTGTGTAGCTGTTTGCATCTTTTTTCATATCAGATGTGCCCCATTTGAATGAACCCCCCGCAAAGCCTGTAAACAGTCCTAGATCTGCACAACTCAAGTGATGAAGACTTGCGTGGTCTTGCTAAGGCAACATTTAGATGTCATCAGTTGATTAGCCCTGGAGCCTCCTTTTGAGATTGGATTTGAGTTTCCATGTTTTTTTTCGCCCAAGCACGCGTTAGCTTGATTCGAGTGGCACAGCAGTTTGTGAATGCCGGTTCCGCCCATTTTGGCATCATCCTGTGGGCCGAGCTCTCAAAAGTTGGCCGTTGGAGGATGGCAGCGTAATTTTTGGGCTCAAGGCAGTCTCATGTAGTCAGTTTGGAAAGGTAGCTATTCACTGGCTCAAAAGGAATCCCTCACAGTCTGATGTTGCTTGGATTTTCTTGATTGGTCATGGCCCTTGGGGTGAAAAGGCTTCGGCGCCTCTTGGACAAAGCTTCATATGTTTTGAGGAGCGGGTGCACGATGCGGCTCGGCTCAAGGAAAACTCTGCGGCGGTTCCTGGTTTCCTCAACCGGGAAATCCAAATCACTTGGCCGAAGCACACCACCAGCGAATCTTTTTCGGATTCTCGGAGCTTGGCTCCCCGGAGCTTTGGGCGTCGGGTTCTCTTCCAGACCCATGTGGAGGGACGAAATCCAATTTGCACCACCCAAGAAACCCGGGAATGATTTGATTCCCATGTAAATACCAAGAAAAATAGTTTCCCATGGTTTCAAAGTGGTGCAGGATTTTGTCCATCCACAGTAGGCCGGTTCTGAAAATTACCAGTGTTGAGCCTCGTCGCTTGAACTGCTTAAGCATATCACGCATGGCAAGCCCGGGGTTTGCTGAGGATGGAAGGCCGAGGCGCGGAAGCAGCGAGGCTGCACAGGTGTTTTTTTATTTCAGGGCAGCCATTTTTGGAAGTGCGCCTGGGAAGTTAAATGGACACTGTTCAACCACCCCATTTGGGACATACTTCAGTGCAACCTTAGGCCTCAGTTCTTGACAGCTGACGCTTTGGTGACCTGAGACCCTTGCAGAATGGGGGCAGTGCCGGTTCTGTGGTCATTGCGTCCGCAGTCCGTTTCAAGGTCTTGGTGTGACATGCTTTTTTGGGGTTGCGTCTTTTTGCAGCCCCCCCCCCCCCATTTTCAGACACACCCGTACGGGTGGCAGGGCAGTCTCCAGTGCAATAAGATCTTGTTTGCTTGGTTCGCGAAAGTGGCTGGAAATGAATGCCAACCTGCGACAACAAATGAGCCACAATAAAACCCGGGTAAATGAAGGTTTGTAAGGGATAATCCCAGCCATAAATGGGTGCAGTCGCCTGTTTAGTTCTTTACATGGTTCTAGGGAGACCATTTTAACACCAGGTTTTGATTGTGGCTCAAATTGCTCCTCAAACAAGTGCTTTGCCCAGCTCGCGCTGATTCTTCAATTCCCTTCCAATCTTTCTTTTTGTTGGCGCGGGGGTTGGCCAGCCTGGTTTTTGAACGGGTTACAGAAGAAAGTTATGAGTTGCGGAAACGTAGGAGGGGACTGACCGCCGCAAACCAAGTTTCTCACGTTTCGCCTGCTGCACAAAGCACAACAAGTAAGAGAGCAACTTCTTTAAGCTGAGCATGCTCGCCAAGGACCAAAGTGATGAGAGTGCCCAAGACCATCAATCTGAGCAAGCTCAGCAACAACCAGTCTCAGTTTGAGAGTACTCAATATCTATCCCAGAACGGGAGTGGCGTATGAAAGGCTCAGATCCAAACAACTCTATGTTTGAGGGGTCCTCCGAAATCAAGTCGTTCTGTTCCGCCTGGCCGCCCAACGTCTCAATCGGCGCATGGGAAAGGGCTACGAGGCAACACCTGTAGCAACATTCAGGATAAGGCTACGGACCAATCGGGCAGCAAGTCCGAGCAATAGGAAAGGTCAGGGAATACATAGAGGCAAGCGTGATATACACTTTCCCCATCTGATTCCCAAGGGGCCTCAATTAACATTCACAGTTGCAGCTTTTGCGCATGTCTACGCTGAGGAGCATTGGGCACGTGGCAACTCGGCTGACCCGACCGAGCCCATCGTGCGGATATGATTTCACCACTTCTCATGCATCTTGTTGAGAGCAAGCTGGGTTGAAGCAGGTCTGTTGCCAGTATGAATGAGGGCTGCGGGTGCTCCTGTGGGTAGTTTTAGTCCTTGACATGTTGCCTCAACAGCACAGGCGCCCCCGCGACACACCAAAGCTGGCCTCCTGTGCCTGTCGTCCAGGAGGCTCTTAGCTTTGCGAAGCTTGCGCAACGCTTCGGGCGGCCATAACTGCCAGTGTCAAAAGCACCGGCGCAAGCTTGTCAGCAGGCCCGGAAATGTGTCAAAGGCGTGTGTTCGATTGGAAGATGGCAGTGTTGGGCGCGATCGATCTCTAGCGGACTCTGGCAAGAGCCAGTTGCTGGCATGAAGGGAATCATCGGTCTATGTTGCGATCCTAAAGCCGCCGTGATGGCAGCGTGGTTTTCTGGAAGCACACAGCATGTGTAGCGGCAAAACGTGTGCCGACGGGCGGCTGGCATAAGGGCTGGACTCGCAACGGGGTAAAGCTCAGACGCATATATTTCACCGAAGCGAAGAAGCGTTGTTTTCCGTAGCAATTGCCTCGAGAATCCGTTTATGCAAATGAGGCAGGGTGGCAATGTCCAACGGAGCCTACGTTTGAATGTTGGCCCATGGAGCCTACATGGTCGAAGGTCCGAGTTCGGGCAAAGATCCGAGAAGTGTGCTGTCACACGCGTGTGCCAGGATGTCAAGCCGTGACGGAGCGTGACGGAGCGTGACCATGCCGAAAAGTCCCACGTAGAAGTAAGACGCACCGTGACAAAGCCACACATCGTGAACTTGTAGCCAGGGAGGGGCGTAACAACAAGGCTAAAGCGAGAAGTCAGAAGCCGTCGATGTCTCCAAAAAAGGCCTACAAATGAAGACATGAACTGTTTAAGCCTAACAACCACTAATGTAGGTGAATAGGTCCGGCGAAGGATTGGTCGGGCGTAAAAGTCCATTCCTTGCAAGAGAGCCCACCGCGATGTAGGGCGGCTGCCAGTCGGCCATTTGCGGTTGCAGCTCATAGATTCACTTTTGGCCAGCCACTGCTTCGCAGCTTGGAACTGGCTCAGCGCGACTAAGCGCTGACATACTGATTGACTTAGTAAGTTAGCCTGTTATAACGCACGTAGTGCTTGCTAAGTTGCCCACGAGGACCCATGGTGTGCGCAGCATGCGCACTCAGACAAATATTGAGACACGCCCTAAACCCCCCAGTCGCAGAACTTTGTTCATGAATGTCCAGAGTTGGGCCCCTTGCGGTTCAACGAAGACTTTGGCCACGGGATTCGTGGAACCTCTCCCTGGTGATCATGACTGCGACTTGGTTCGCGGAGCTGTTCGCAGAACCTGTGGTTTCCAGACAGCGCCCCTTCCAATGGATACGCTGGAAAATGGGCGTGGCGCAATTGATTAAAGAGCTAGGGTTACGCAGGCTTAGTCTTTGGTTGCGTTTACCAGGGTGCCATTTTGGTACATGTTTTTGACCCACTGCCAAATGCCTACACCCGGAAATTGGGACCAGGCGATGAAACCCGCCGCAGGGCAAAGTTTGACAAAGCCTTCGGGCATGGAGCTGTGGACACGGCGAGAAGACGCGACTTTGGAACCTGTAGCTCACTTGTACTAAGTCCGCTCGATTGCGAACACTTTTCAGTTGGCTTAGCGAAAAAACGCAACTAGATTGGTAGCAGTCATAAACTGTATGTAGTGTTCTTTTCCACTTAGGCCTGACAAGTGGTAAAACTGCCCATGGTGCCAGCAGAGAAGGCTTGCTGATGCTTCATCGAACAACTCGCCCAAACCCACGACGCCAACAACACCTGGAGTCAGGCCGTTGGGCTTGCTCCGGACTCTGAGTCTCGCGTCAGTCAGAGGGCAGGCTTCCGATTCTTTTCAGAGCCTGAAGTCGCTGCGCGGCAAAGCTGAACAGAGTAGCAGGGTGTGGCAAAATGCGCCTTGCTGCTTTGTTCATTTCTGCGCCTGGATGTTTGCGAGGCTTGGTAGGTGTTTGCGAGATCCCCTCTGCGGTAAAAGTGGCATCGAGGATGTCATTTTCGATTTCATTGTCCTCTGCGGAGCTTTGCCCCTTGATGCTCGCGTGAAGAAACCAAATTGGGGGTGGGCCTTAGATTGCATTTCTCCACCCGCCCTCTGCTGCCCCTCGGAGGGGCAAGTTGCTGAGGGGGATGAGGAGGATTGAGCGAGCCTGCCGCCATCATTCCTTAGCGCGCAAGTGCCGAGGAGGTGCTCCGATCGATTTCGACCCCCTTGCGCGTGTTGAGCGAAAGTCCGCGGCCACTATCAGACAAGGATGCAGAATCCCAACGCAATGAAACCATCTTGCATGAACTCCGCGAAACCTTGGCGTGTCTTGTTTAAACGCTGCTGGTTTCGCAGAGCGCCTTGGCGAAAAAACCGCTGTTCGAAGAGAGACCTTGTCGGGTCCGCAAAAGAGCGGAAAGCCGTGAATACGTGCCCCCGGCCGGCGTTGCTTCAAACAAAGTACAGAGGGTGCATCGGGGGGAGGGGCGAATTCAGTTGCATGAGCCAAGCTGCAATGCCCCCCTCCCCCCAACTTTGACTGTTTGCTCGATGCCCCCCACTTACCCTCGCCCGTGCTGGGCCCCGGCAGTCCTCGCCGAACCTTGGCATTTGAGGCAAAACACCCGTTCAGCTACCTGTCTCTAAGGACAGGCTGGTGAAGCAGTGGTGCGCATGATGCCGCTGATGCCCTCGGCTTAGGCCCTCTCTTGGGCCCTTCCCATGTACAGCTTAACAGTGATCAGTGAACCATGCGTAAGCGAGTGCTAAGGACAGAGGGCTGCTTCATAGCAACTGCTTTGCTTGTGCTCTATTGAGGAGACAAGACGTCTTTGTCGTGTCATCTGGTTTTGCACGATACGCACATGAAGATATCAAGCTCCTTCATCAAAGAAAGTCGGATTGTGCTTTTGCGCCGTTAGCTCAGACTAGCTGCATAGCTGCAAGCGTGCTGCTCGTTTTCTCAAAGCGAGGCAACGGCAGTTGCGCGTCAAGGCGGCGCTTTCCAGAGCTCTGTGTGTCAAATTAAAGCGCGACCAAGCCTTGCACCTTGCCTTCGATTGCGTCAGGCTTTGCCTGCAAGGATGGCCTGACGCGTCAGGCCAGGAACGGCTTGTAACAATCGCGTGTTGCGGACTCTGGCTGGCGCTTATGTCCTGTGCAGCTCAGACTGAGCTGGTCAACCCACAGAGTCATGGCATAAAGATCACAGAGCTTTGTGTAAGAGCACCATTGTGCCCTTTGCGATCCAACTTGCGGAGTGGCAAGCCGCACTGGCCGTGTGTTTGTGCAAGCGTCGTGCACAGGCATGTGTGTCCAAGTCTCCGCACAGCCGGAAGGCAAGCAAGTCTGTCTTCTGACTGACTTGATCCGAGCGGCCTGGCACAGAAGCTGCCAGATCTATCGAACTTGACCATGCCAGGGACGATCTCATGTTTTAGAGCAAAGCTGCCTTGGGACAATCAGACACAGAGGGAAGTAGCAGAATGTCAATGATCGCACGCTCCGGGTTTTCGCGACTCGATAAGGGGCCCTTTGTCAACATTTCGCGCCAACCAGGCTATTCATGCCAAGAGGTTTGGGCAACCCATGCTCCAGGGGCTTGACATGAAGCTTCAGTCGTTGACTGTGCGAGTTGTTTGCAAATTACGCCAGGAGCAATGCGGTGGGCCTGTCAGTTGCAGACCTTCACGTGCCAAGAGCCTGCAGCCACAGCTCGTGCCAGATTGCGCTTTCAGCAGTGGTCCGCAACCCACGCGACCCAAGGCTTTTCGCTTGGCCGCCTTTTCCAGCTCGACGTGCGAAGAACTTTTTTGCGCATGCAGCGTACGTGCACTTTTGGGGTTGGATGTGACACTTTTGTCGTTGAGAAGTCCGCAGGTGATGCCAGGGCGAAACTCGCTGTTGGACTTGCCAGTGGCAAGCCTTCAGGTGCAATGAGCCCGCTGCCGCAGCTCATGCCGCAGCAGGCAAGCTTCACGGTTACCCGGGGGTTTCTATACCAGGCACGCAGCCCAATCTCATTGAGCGCACGCGGGTTTGCGCGACTCGATCTGGGGGCCTTTTTCGGCATTTCGCGCCAAACAGGCTATTCATGCCCAAGAGAGGAGGTTTTTGATTGGACAATCCTGCTTCTGGGGTCGGAAGCGCAGCTTCCGTCACTGACTTTGCAAGCTGTCTGCAGATTTCGCCACGAAGCAACACGTCGGGCCTGTCAGTTGCAGACCTTCACGTGCTAAGAGCCAGCAGCCACAGCTCGCCGTGCCAGATTGCACGAGTTTCACACCTGCTATTCATGTCCGATGGACGAGGTTTTCGATTTCAGCAGTGGTCACCAGTCATTGCGACTCACGGCTTTTGGATTGGCCTCCTTCGGCGTGGTGTGTGAACGCAGTCAGCGTCGCATGCATCTCGGGCTGTGAGGGAGTTTGGCGCCGGCTGTTTGTAACTTACGCCGAAGGAGCCCGCAGCCCACGGACGGTGTTCGGGCGCGCGTGGCCGCCAAAGTGAGCTGGCGCTTGTGAATTTGTGTTGGGAGTTCGGGTCTCTTCAACGTGGCTGAAGTGGTTGAAGCAACCGGACCAAAGCGTGCTTCAAACGCCTGGAGTCTCTTTGGCCACGAGGCGAGGCTTGCGGACCCGCCAGATCACATTCCGCGATCGCAGAGTTGAGCAAAAAGCAGGGCGTTGCGGGGGGGGGGGGGGGAAGCCCAGGGGGGCTGGCTGCCGCTTGGGATCCAGGTCAGGCCTGCCCTTTGTATTTATTTCTGAGCCCCTGCCAACTGTGCTGGAGTCCTTTGAGGGCATCTCTGCTGTCTTGACTTTTCCTGCGCATGTGGGCCAAAGTGATTTCTTCTCCACGCCGGACCGGAACCTATCTACATCTTCTTTTTTGGGCTCGTGCAAACACATGCGGTGGCGATTGTTGCGGATTTGATCGCTGTCTCAAGTTGATTGGAGGGCCGCCCATATCTCCAAATGGCCCCCAACCACCAGAATGTGGCCTGAAGCGCCGCCTTGCCAGTGTCTTGTCGCGGAAAGCTGGAGATATATGTTTGCGGGGCCCCCGAAACGGCCAGTCTTGCTTTCCCTTTCAAACCACACCCGCCACACCGGGAAAAGGACACCCCCACCAAGTTTTTGCTCGCTGGTTGGAGACGGTTCGATTGGTGCGTGCCTATCTGAGACACAATCCACAGGCGAAGTTTGGGGACTGCAAGCAGCGCTCGTGATTTCACCCGGCCCCAGGGAAGAACCCGGGGTGCGGCGCACGGGTCCCCCGATTCGGCTCTTGGCTCGAGGCGATGGCGCGAAGGATCCAAAACAACATGCGTTGGCAAGCCGGAACCGGAAGCTGGTGCATCCTTGCAACACGAGTAGCCTCCACAAAAATCATGCCCGTCTTTCCAAAGGCAGCGCCTTTTGAACAGTGGCAAACCAACAAAAACCTGAAAAGTTGAGTGTGGATTTGGCGTAAGACGTACATTTAACGCCTGCGTTTGACCCAGCTAGTGGTCTTTTGCTGTTGCATTTTACATGAAGCGTTTTCAAGCAGGTTTTCTCAGAATGCAGCGGTTGTCAGTCACAGTTCCATGAGCTGAGCCTTATTTGGACGCAAATCCTGGCAGCGACCTGTGAAGCCGCAGCCGCCCTTTCTTGGGGGGCCTTTGCCATGATGCAATCCATGGAGGAAGGCCTGCGCGAAGCAATTCGAAACATGCTTCGTGCGGTACGGTTGTCGACTTATTGCAAGTGAAGGAACCAAGACACCCGCTCATTTTCTTGGTCTTTGCATCAATGTCATCTTGACGTCTTTGAGGCATGTGTGACACACATTTCAAAATCAGCAGTCTTGTGGATTCGGGCTACAATACTGACTTTGTGGCGTGTGGTTGATGTACTTGCAATACTTGCACTACGGCGGATGGACGAAATCCAATTTGCACCACCCTAACAAACCCTGGAATGGCAATTTTCCTGCAAGTTCGAACAAACAGTTGGGTGCCTCAAATCCCTGGTCCACTGACCGCGTCGGAGCACCTCTCTCAGCCCAAACCTTTCAACGTGACTCTGCGGGCAACCTGGTTTCAAAGTGGTGTAGGATTCAAAGTCCATCCACAGTATTTTCGGCCAAACGGCTGGGCTCCTGGACCTTTTCACGGTTCCACGTAGGCCGCGTGCCGTTGGCGCCGGCGGCCAGCGCCCAAGAGGGGGGCGTTCAAGAGCGTAAAACGTGGCTTGAGGTTCTCGAAATGGGATTCGGAGTTCGGATTCAAGTTTTGGTTCGTCAAAGGCACACCATTTTTGGGAAATGGACCCTAGATTTGTTGGGAAGGCCAATTCGTTGGTCCGCAGAAATGGCCGGTTGCTTCTTGGGGCTCGTTTTGGGGACAGCTTCACAAGGGGTCCAGGTGCCTCCAGTTTTGACCACTTGGTTCAAATGGGGTTAGGGCCTCCAAAACCTTGGCAATGGATGCCCGGATCCTTCCTGTTGACTTCCCAGTTGCCCAGCGGTACCCTTTTTTCCTTTTTTAGGGGCAGGCTCCCGTTTAAAGTCACCAACCAAAAAAGGGGGCCCTTTTTCCGCGTGGCCACTGGGCATCTGAGACTGTGGAACACGCGCATGGCTCATTTTGGGGTCTGGTCGGCGAGTTTTGGGGCTTGGGCACGCGACCTCGCCCCTCAGGCCCAGGCAAGACGGGAGGTGTCGCGACTTCAAGCATGCTTGGGGCCGGAGGCTTGGTGTGTGGAACAGAATCACGAGGCCCCCTAGAAGTGTCTTGAGAGTTGCTGGGGTCTCCAATATTCTTTGAGGTTGATTGTATATACATGCAACACCAGCTGAACACGTTACGAATCGTTCGCACCTGCCAAGAAAGCCTCCTCAAGGAGGGTGTCCCAGTGTTTGACTTTGGAAGTCAAAAGGTAGATGGTCCCTGTGGTCCAGCTTTCTCTTCGAAATCAATGGGTTCCCTGGGGCTGGGCAAGCAAGACGGGGCTATAGTGTTTGTTTTTCTTGGGCCCAACCCCGCTTTCCGTTGGCCTTAAATAGATTTCGAAGGGACACCAACCATTTTCACTGGTTGCCAGTGGACTTCTGGTTGGTCGGTCAAAACCAGTGTTGATTTCTTGCAGGATATGGTTGAGGGAGTAGTTTTTGTTTTTTCCCCGCACTGAGCGAGCTTCCCTTTGAAATAAAACATCGCTTTATGTTTAGTAGGTTGGTCCGCAACAAGTTCACACGCTGTTTACAACGACATCGGGGGCACTGTTGTTGCCAGAGTTGCGCTTTAATCACATGAGCGTGAAGGCCAGCAGGCGTCATGTTGGCTGGCATCATGTTGCTTCCCTTGTGCGAAACCGTCATAAATTGGGTCCCCAGCCCGTTTTCAGACACGTGGACACTGGGGGGGGGGTGCAGGGGTCTTATGAAGTGCCCATTTGGCCATGGTCCGAGGTGCTTGGTGGCATTGGATGTGCTTCTGGTGTGGAACTCGGAGCTGGCAAGGATTGCGACCGAGCTGCTGTAACTCGTAGCCCCCCCAACTGGTACCTGACTTGCACTCGCAAAGAAATAGCCCCTCCGTCCTAATTCCCTTTCAATATTTACTTTGTTTCTGGCATGTATGGCGGCCCCCCTTCAAACATTGTAAAGCAGCTAGTGGCAGGTTTGTGGTTGCACGAAGCTGGACTTGTTAACCATCTTTGTGATACTAAGGAACCGTCACCTAGAGTGAAGAATGCGTCTTCCGGAACATGGGCAGGCCGTTTTTGAAATCCCAGTGGCATCACAGAAGCAAGGCAACGCCACAATCCTGGGGTTTTGGTTGAATGCACCGCTTTCGGGGATTCTCCTAAAGGACACTATAGATATTGTTCTTTCTTCTTTGGCATTCCGGCATTCCAAAAACATACTGCGCTCGCAGGGAGACTTGACAGTAGTTCAACTCGGGATCCAACGTTGGGTTCGACCCAAAAGCGTGTTTGTTTCTTGCCCGTGACGGTGGTTTGCAGGTGTTCCGCGAGTTGGCCATCCACAAGCACCAGGGGTTCAAATCCAAACCAATCCAAACCGACCGGTACTGTAACCCTCAAACAACCACTGCTTTTTGGTTAGCGTACCAAGGGGAGTTTGGACCTGGTTGAAGAAGCAAGCAAGTTGGGACCCGGGTGCTGGTAGGTCACAACCCACTCGTACCCAAGTGGAGCAAGCCTGATTTGGTCTCGCTTAGGCAGACAAAAAGAAGGTCGCTTACCCAACAGGTATATACATGTATATTTCTTAGGTTGTATCAAGGTTATACACTTAATAGAACTACTTCCTCCATAAAACGCTTGCTGGTGCTCACTAGGGAATGTGGGAATGAATAAACCCAGGCTTCGGTCCCCTTTGAGGGAAACCACTTGGATGGTTTATCTTCATTCCATTTCTCATTCCCTGCATCTCTCGCACCAGCAATACTCATTGTCCATGGGTCATCACTGCCTCCATTTTGGGGCGGAACCATCATGTACCACCTTTCATGTTCACCAGGGGTACCCTTGGTTTTGACAACAGCCATTGGACAAGTGCCCTGCTCAGGTCCCCCTCCTCCTGCTCGCGGGCTCCGGCTTTGACGGACGCTCTTGGTTTCGCAGCCAGGCGCGCGCCGCGCTTGCCGCTGTTTTGCCGGCAAGCTTTTCACCTGTGTTGGTTTTGGTGGGAAATGAGGGGACATGATATCATGCATTGTAAAATCTGAGATGTCAGTTTATTTCTGACAAGATTCAGTTCGCCGGCAGCGGTTTCTTGTCGCGCTGCTGCGGTTGGCAAGGGCTCCAAGTTCCAGTGGCTCGGGGGACCGGTCGCCTTGATCGGGTTTCCAAGGGGCCAGCGGAGGTACCTGGACAGGCTTTGCCCCTCATAAAACCACACCATCACTTTGGGGCAAGAATCACTTT